TTTCACATTCCTGTGAAACGCAGACTGCCCCCACAGGGTAGAACGCCGTCTCCTGTTCCTGCAGCATGAAACAGTTTTGACACAGACACACACACTCGCGTGCACACACTCCCTCTGGCCTGCAGGATCTCACTGGACAGGTGATACTATTTTAGTAGACCTGACTCAACAGTGAGGCAATGGACAACTTTTTTTTTTTTTTGAGGATGACAGCTCTCTTTTCTCACAGTTTTCTCACAGTCAATGTGACAGGTTGGAATTCGAAAAACATGGGAAACTCCAGAGAGCGGAGAGACAAACTGCTGTGGTTTTACAGCAGTAATTACAGTCTGTTAACACCCAGCTGATGACTGTTTGTGTTTTTATTTACAGAGACTCTCCAGGTTTGATTAGTTAACATAAATGAACACATAGCCACCGATTAAATAATGAGACATTCACCCAGTTGCTCATTCACACGTATCTTTAGTCCTTCCAATTGTTTCCAATGAGACGAGTGAGTGTGAAAATTAACAAGCACAGCCATTCGGTTGGTGGTTCTGGCCCACTAACAGTAGCACAGTGTTCGATCCAACCGTCCAAGTCTGTGAATTGCAAAGATGGAAAGAAAGTTATTTTTCACACACTGTGCACAAATACTGTAGATAGTGACAGCGACACATAAAAGGGCAAGGCTGCGGTTTGATGCTGACGTCATGGCAATCAACATTTAAAACGACGAGGCCTTTTCGGTGAGAGAAAGCCACACGGAGCAGCCCACAAACATTTCAGTAAGTATCAGTTTTGGATTGGGTACCACAAGTGGTGTATGTGCACGCAGAGTGGAACAGCAGGCTTCCACAGGCACACCTGCACACTTCATATGTGCAGTCAGACACATGCTGCAGTTCAAAACGTTTCTCCTTCACAGCTGTCAGATTCGCAGCCACACGTCTTGATTAAGCTGGGAGGCATGAAACTCTATTCTGAACTAATCACAATTGTCTCTCTTTTATCGTCTTTCTCCCTCCGTTTCTCTCGTTCACATTCGTCTTGTGTCATAAAGACACAAACACATATAGACACATACACACACAAGTTCCCCTCACACCCTGCTCCCCCCCCTGCCCCCCCTTCTCGACACACCCAGTATCGCTAAGGAGCCAACCACCAGATCCCACTTTTCACCGCAGAGCTGTGGATTAGAAAAGAAGGCATTTCAATGGTCTGCGGCTTGTGTGATGACATGATTGTCATTCAGTTTAATACCCTCTGTACTCTTTAGATTCCCGCTCGCTTGATTCTCCTGCAACAATAAAGCACCCAAAGAAGGTAAATAACAGTTTGAAAAAACATGGGGCTCCTGTACAGACTTGCTTCCTGGAAAGGTATTTTAGTTTTTACTGCCGAGATGAAAGACACATTGAAAATTGTTCCATGCAGCTGCTTTCTAGCGGTCTAGGGTGGCTTGCATGCATTTTTGTTCATGTGAAAAATATCTGTGGGCTTATACTGTATCTCTATACATGTATATCATTTCCGTAATTGAACCTCCTGGCTTTGGGTGCTGCCCAAATCTAACCCTCATGAAGTTGGAATGATTCCGCAGCAAACTCTTCCTCGGATATAAATTACTCCCATGTTGAACTTGAAGCATTGTGTGGGTCTAACACTGTTTAATGCTTTCAAGGCCGTTGAGGCTGTTGCGTAAGCTGCAAACAACTCTCCTCTCAGCTTTTGTGTACATTCATCTTTTCGTTGATGTCTCTATAAAGCTGCAGGGCAAGTCGAAGAGTTTGAAAAGTTCTGCCAGAGGCGAAAAAGATTGATGCACCTGTGTGAAGGTGGCGGGACACGAGGCATGGAGGGAAGGAGGAGAAGAAGAAGATGTGGGGGCAGAAAACAGTGTATGGATGGAGAGATCAGGGTGATTTTGTTCCCTCGTCCGTCTCCTCTTCCAACCATCATTCTCATTGACTTTGCTTACGTTTGCAGATGAAAGTTGGGAAGGCTCCAGGTGAAGGGTGGGGCTTCACCGCTGCTTTGTTGTTGGCTTTTGTATTCAGTGATCCTCACTACCTGAGGGCCTGGCGATGGAGCATCTGACATTTGGCAGAGAGTGTGTGTGACATCTTTTATTTCTTCAAAGGAGCTGCACTTCAGACAACACAATATGATCACTAAACTGAATTGTTTTGGGATAATCTCGCTTTAATCTAATCACCACATCACTGCAAAGGAAACTAGATGAAAAGCGAATTTGTTTAAAGTCCATAAAAGCTACATCTAATGCAAGACAGTAGAAAATTACTCTTATACAGTACATCTTCAATCTGGAGTTCATTATCAGTAAATATCTCATTGATATTCATTCCAGACACAAAAAAGCATGAGGTTCCATTTGTAGGAAACTACAGCCATGCCTCTGCACCGCTAAATGAGTATCTCCTGGGCTGTGGTTTCAAAGATCTGTCATGATGGCTTTAAGGATTCTGACTGGTATCTTGCGGCTATCGCAAATGACCGACAGCTTCTTCCTCATACTGGAAATTACAAAATGAGAGTGGAACATTTTGCCTTTGCTCGGGAGGATTTGTAATTTGCTGTAATGGCTGACACATGTACATGCCATCAGCAGGCCTCTGGCTATGGAAATCTCTATCAGTGGTACACACAGGGATGCAGCAGCAGTGCACACCTGCGGGCGCGACAGTTGGATATGTAGTCTGGACTGCATACATGCACGCATAAATGCCTACACATGAATGTGAGCGCACGGTAATGTACACAAAGACGTGTGTACACAAACACATCAACAGAGAGACATATTATCCAACTTCAATCCTACACTGTGCGTAAAAAACACAGTTCACAACTTGCATGTCATATTTGTTTCCTCAATGCTGCTGCCGCCTGTTTGTTTCTTTAATCTCTCTGTTTATATTTCTGAGTCCAAACCTGTCAGTATAACTCCAGCTAGAGCAATTAGCATGAGGGAAAAGCAAATAAAATGTCTGATGAAAGCAAAGCCTGGATCCTGACCTCATTCTGACTGAATCTGCCGCTAGCCAACAGACAGTCATTTCCAAAGCTGTGAATTCCTCAGTGCCAGGCTGGCCTCTCTTTGGATGGGTTTACAATGGCTGTTTGTGCTTCAAAACATATCATTATTCTATATTTGCCTCGGTCATGTCTGTTTGTTTGAGCGCTGTTTTTTTTTTTTGTTTGTTTCGTAAGGTGGAAATTGTAATCACAGGCTTTGTACTACTTAACTTTGAAAAGTTTTAAGAAAAGTTTGACATTTTGGAATCACGCTTTCATGTCAAAAGTTACATGAGAAGACTGATACCATTCTCATATACACCAATTATGAAGCTACAGCTAGTAGTCAGCTAACTTAGCTTAGCACAAAGACGTACGCCAGTGTTATACTTTCTGCAACTGCGAATATGCAGCTTTTTCACAGCTCACCCTTTGGAATTGTTGGTAGGTGGATTTTGTTATCTTCAAACAGAGCTAGTCTGCCCTCAGCTGTTACCAGTTTTTGTGCTAAGCTAAGTTAGCTGGCTGCTAACTCTCACCAAGAAAGGAAATAAAATGTCCAACTTTCTTTCTAAGTTTTTTTAACCGAGCAATCTGCTTTCTCAGAGGATATTGCGGAACCGAGCTGAATAAAGATAAAATATAAAATCTGCAATTAGGCAACACAGTGAATTTGCCAAATTCATTTATTATCTCTGTCTGAACCATACTGTGCCTCAGGGCTGAATATGTAAGTGTGAGTGAGTGTGCGTGCACCTCTTTCTCACCTCTTTACCTCTCCTCCCTCTCCCTTCATCCATCCAGAAAGCCGCCCTCGGTGTGTTAGTCAGGTTCAAAGTCTGAACTTCTTCTCGCTGCCAGAAGAAACTCAATACGTACAGCAGCTTTAAAGAATCAGGGGAACATCCCAGTGCTGATCCTTCCTGTACATCCCCAAAGGTGACACACTCAGATACTGTATTTATGGGATGGAGACAGAGCAGTCACAAGGGCCCCCTCCTCGCTTCAGGCCTATTGTTATGGAGGTTTGTCTCGGGAGACTTGTCACTATGTTGCCTATGTGTTGGCTCCGTGTTGAGTCTCAGGGTGCATGGAGAGTACAAGAGGTTTTGGGTAGACATCCTCAGGGCTTCTCTTATTCACTGAGACATCTATCAAATGGGTTCAAAGGGCCAAGTAGGATTTTCCTCTGCGGAGTCAGTTTACATCTGTAAAACACTGATGTGCCTGTAGCTCATAACAAAGTGCTCTAGATCTTTTTTTTTTCCATGTCACAAAGTTCTACAAAAAGGACCATTTCTGTAGCTTGTGATACAAATTATGTTGCAAAAAGAGTTAAAGTAATTCAAATGTTTAAAATTTAAAAAAAAAACAAAAGAATCAAACAATGTTTTTTCTGATTGGAGTTTTAACAAGCGTCATGTAGTTTCATATGATAATGCGTAATTACGTTAGAAAGAAAACGATATTTGAATGATTTTGCCTCTGGAAATGAACACGCATAGGTTACTACTCAAGCCCATGTTTATCCATGTTTATGCTATAGCTTGAGCAGGGAAGGGTGGAGACTTGCAAAAGAAAAAAAAAACTGGGCGTAGGAGACGCAGAGGAGAAACCTTGAATGAGAGATTAGTACACCTCAGAGCGCACAGACACATCAGGCTGGAGGTCTCATCTGACTGCAAATAAACGAAGAGTCGTGTTCAGTGACAAAACTTTCTGAGGAGGATTCATTTTGAGCTGTCTTTTCTAAACAAAAAAAATGAATTAAAAAAAGCAGACAAAGACTATGAAGATTATTTTTGACAAATCCACTGAGCCATTCCGTTGCTGAGAGGAGCTCTCCATGTGATGCCTCACTTTTACGCAACAGGTTCTGAGAGATAAATTTAAACAGTATCAACTCCGACCCATGTAGGAAGAAGAAGAAGCATGCTGTCACCGTTTTGGCCCTTTGGCATCGAGCAGGAGATCAACTCATGGGATGTAGCGGATGCAGAGTCAGGTTCAACTTTGGGAAGGTGCTGTCCAAAGTCTCGGTGTTTTTTACCATGGTTCTGATCTTCACCTACTTCTTCTATTGCCTCACCGGATTTTGCGATTCGGCTCCGAGAACTTTATACAGCCAACAAGCTTTAGACGGGGACTATGACATTTTGGACGATCGTCGCCGCATTCTGGGCGACCTGCGACCACCGGCGCGTCTCCTCCACGACGCGCCTTCTCACCGGAATCGCACAGCCTCCGCGGACGCAGAGCAGATGGACGCGCCCGGACAGCTGCCTCAGCGCGTGTCGGACAGCGCAAATAAAAGCGCCCAGAGCAACGGCATCCCCGTGTCCAACACTTTCGGGACCAAAAGGTTTCCGCAGGCGATAATAATCGGCGTGAAGAAAGGAGGAACCCGCGCACTGCTGGAGTTTCTCCGCATCCACCCGGACGTGAGAGCGGTCGGCGCGGAGCCTCACTTCTTTGACCGGTTTTATGATAAAGGACTGGAGTGGTACAGGTAAGGGACACAAACAAAAACACGTGCATGCGGATGTTACACCTTTTAACAACCCTCACATGAATATATGAGCATGTTTTATTATTATAGCGACGATACAGTTTAAATATGAGCTTTAGTCTGTCACAAACAGTAATAAATTCATTTTAAATTCACAAATGAGTGGCGCAGACATGAGCCCGATAGCAATATGACCATAAAAAAAAAATCTTTACAATAAAGCTCGGTGACATCTCAGCCAATGCTGGATGATGTATGGTGGCAGGCTGAAGCGTCCGATGAGCAGCAGTGATGTCCCTGCTGACACCCATTCACCTGTGCAGAAATGCTGATGCCTCTTGTCGATAGACAGGACAGCCATACACTGACTGGCTGATTTATTCCGATCAGTTTAAGCCAATATTCTCCTTGTGTGCTGCACTGTAGATCAAAAGGCTGGTGAGGTCCCTGAGGAGCAGTCCATCATCTTGACAGTCCTCTAAACAGCCTTTATACACTTCAACCATGATATCCTGTATTAACATCCTCACCTTGTTCTGAAAGGTTCTGCAGAAGAAGCCAGACATATAAACATCATGGTGATTGCTCTAATATGTTTTCCATGTATGAAGGATATAAACCTGACTGAGACAATTGGCTCCCTGCAGATGTAGTCGCCTGGGTTGCAAGTCACAATTTCACAGTTGTGCACACAGAGGCAGATGAAAGGTTCATCGGCTACTGTCGCAGTGACACAGCAGCTGATTTGGGGTGACCAGGCTGACCAGAGCTATCATTTGTGTGTAGTTACGGCCCTAAAGAAGGATTTAGGTCTGGATGAAGCTGATCCTGATCATCTCCAGATGTTCTACAAGCTCCCGGAGAAACTCCCAGCTGAGCAGCAAACTTATCAGCAGCAGTGTCAGTGTATACTATTTTAGACCTGTGAATATAGCATTAAAGGTGCCGTAAGGAGAGTGCGAGGTCTGACAGGATGAAAACCACACATTAACAAGGACTTGCATAGCAAGATTGCGCTTTAGACACTAAGGTGTAATTTAATCTTCTCTTGACTTTTTCTCTTAACCCCCTTAGCTGTGTCTTAACCGAGAACACAAGGACACATGGAAACACTTTCACCACTGATAATTTTAGCATGCTGCTAAGCTTCCTCTCTCTTTTTCTCTCTGTGCGCACACATAAACACACAAGCACGCACCACACACACATACAGGTTAGCACTTTGCTCCCTTATCTAACACCCCTCTTTTTCCCATGACTCTCCACACCGCCTGTCTAACCCATCCTTCTTCCCACATCCTTCTGTCCCATTTCATTCACACTTTTCCAACAATTTATTCTCATTCCTTTTTTTTTTTCTCTTCTCATGTAGTTTCTCTTCTCTTTATTATTCCTTTAGTGTTGAGGGCGTATTTATGTGGAAATACCTGTGGCAGACCTGGTGTTTCCAGGGCATGTTTTATGTGTGTTTCTGTGTGTGTTAATTAGCCCGACTGGTGCTGTAAAGCTGTTATGTTTTGTTAGTGCTCTAACACAGCAGCAATACTAACATAGCCTGTGAAAGTTAAATCAATCATATAAGGATTGAAAGTAATGCTTATTTTCATTATCAAGCTGCTGATTATCAGCTTAGTTCATTAATTAATGATTTTTTTTCATAAAATTTCTATTCAATTTGAGCCCAAGGTGACATTCAACCGCTTGTTTTGTTCAATTAAACCTAAACCCACCCAAAGATATTCAGTTTTTTTGCTTAAAAAATGACATTATTAGTTACTTTTATACAGTTAACTTTCTGTTTCTGTAGTCTGAATGAATCCATGGATCAAGTAAATGTTTTCAGTGGCATGTATATGAAGTTGACAAATATCAAGGGAGAAATGACTGCAGGGCACATGGTTTAGTTAAATCATCCGTTAAATGTGATCCAACAAATGTACTGGAATTTTGGTGATTATTTTTTTGTACTTTTCATAGAAGATTACTTAGCTGAAAGCTGAGGTGGAGAAGATTTGGAAGGATTAACACAACAACAGAGACAGCAGCAACGTGATCCTGGGTGAAATCACTGAAAGATGATTCTCCTGTTGTCACTGAATCTCAGAAATTGGGGAAAATGTGTTTGCTGTCATCTGCAGTGACCCACAGAGAAGCCACTGGAAGTCATGGAGAGCAGCGGTGTGTGTGTGTGTGTGTGTGTGTGTGTGTGTGTGTGTGTGTGTGTGTGTGTGTGTTGGTGACAGAAAGAACTCATCCATGTGGAACAAGTCCTTCTCACTGGACTGTCAGTGAACAGAGGGTTAACTCACTGTCACATCTGGCAACAAATACACACACACACACACACACACACACACACACACACACACACACACACACGATTCAGTAAAAGGCTGCTGTGTATGACAGGCCCTGAAAAGCATCTCTGGGCTTCGTCATTTTATCTTGTCAGCGTTCTCTTCTTCATCTGCCGTCCTCAGGTCAACACCGTCATATTTCTACAATGTGTATGGATATAGATATTTTGCTAGCTCATTATGCATGCTTGTATTTCAGCCATAATCAAAATGAAAAACTTATTCACATGCCTCTGAATCAAAAATATGTTCATTGATTTGTAGCAGAGACAGTGAGAAATTCATAAGAAATCCCAAAGACACATTGTTTCATACTTTACTGCAATTTGTGTGTTGTGATAGTCGGCCTGGTTCCACATGTGTTGGACGGAGAAATAAGCACAAACTGCAGGCGATTTTAGAAGATGGATGAGATTCGTGCCCTGCCATATATTGAATCTTTTGCTGTCAGATATTGGATGAACCCAGGGGTGATCTACATACTGGAGACACTTCATAGACGTGGCAGTGTAAGACGTGCTGTTTCAACAGCATTGTCTTCTGTGAGACAAACTTAGACCTCATTCATGTGTGTTTTCCATTTCTTTTATCTGAGTGATCCCGCCAATCTCGTCTCTCTTTCTTCTCCACCCTGTCTGTCTCTCCACCCCGTCCTCTCGTTTGCATGTGTGCATATGAGCCCATTACGGGAATGGAAAAGCCACAAATAGCGCATTCAAAATGAAGCAAAGATTTAATGATTTTCTGTGTTGTTTTATGGCTTTAAGGGGACTTCATGGAGTGATGGGTTTCATATGTGACTTGAGAGCCACCGCAGAAAACAGAAAGACCTCAGCTTTCCATGGCACAATGGTTCTGATTGTCACGGCTTTGTCACCATGACGTTGTCTGGAATGAGTAATCCATGAATGAAGGCTCTTTTTTTTGTATCTTCAGTTCCTTGATGACATTAGAATGAACACGTTTGTTTTTGTTGACTTGTAGTAGAACAAGCAGTGGTTATTTTACTATAAGAAATGAAAATCAGTTACATGGCTTTGGATCCAACTTCCTGGAAACCAAATGACTAGTCTATATATATCTGATTTATGAAAAGATCATTTATGCATTTCTATTTGAGGAAAAACTCAAAGTGTCATCAATAATTTGAAAGCTTGTCAATTGGTTGACCTACTGTCTTGACACCAAGGCCATGCCTGATTGGATAGCTATTAAAATATAGTACAAATCCTTTAAGGGCAGCAGCACAAGGGCAAGCAGGAATGTCAGCACCGCTGGAAGTGACACCGGCCCCTAAATTATTTATGTAAAAAGGGCTATGTAGTGATAACAACAGGTGAATATATATAATTATGTAGTTTTAATATATTTACAAGTTAGTTGGTTCAACATTGTTAAATTGGAAAGGTTGTGATCTTCCAAAATAAAGCCACAAAATGTTCTCTATATTTTTTTAATCACCTATTATATATTTTTTTTCTGTAAATCCAAATCTGACTAATTATTTTCAATTGCCTGTGGAATCTGTTACAAAACATGGACAGTCGTTTAAAGTATCATCCTTATTTTTGACACCCTTTGACCCCTTGCATATTTCTGAGTAACTACAACATTAAAATAACGGCTTTTTTTTTAGGTTACTTTAGAGTATAAAGTGTGTTTACTGCCCTTTACAGATTATAAAGCAGACTAGATGGTCTTTTGCAATGAGATTACTGCAGTCTGTATGTAAATGTTCCCATCTCTGCTATCCATTAAATTGAAAGAAAATTAAAGACATATTTAAAGACATTGATAAGACATGACAGAGTATTGATTGGACAATATTTAATCTGCCTGTGTATTGAGCAGAAACTATTTGTTGATGGCTTTAATAATGCGCTGTATTGGTGAATATAAATTAATCTTGATTAAATACTTACTAAGCTAAATATCGATTCCTTAGTCTTAAGGAATGATGGAACTAAATAATTTGCTTTATTGATTATTTCATTCATTATTAGCTCATATGTTAAATCTGTTAGGTGAGACTGTGCTGTGCTGTTTTCTTTTGTTTTTTTTAAACCTTAAAATCATCCTGCCACTGCATGTTATATGAATGTTTCATCTCAGTATTTTCTAGGAGGCAAGATTCAAATATTTACCATGTCAGTCTGGATTTTTGATAGCTGAAATGGTGAAAGTAGACTCTAATGCACATAGGGCAATGTTTCCAGAGTGAGGGTGATTTTCCCGACACCTCATTCTGTGTTCATCCCTCAGGCCATTAGTGATAGAGTCTGAACACGGCTGATTGGTGTAACAGACCAGGAAGTGGTCTCTGTAGTGTTGAACTGTAGTATGTTTTAATGGTGGTGGGTTTTGGCTGGAGTTGGGTGTAGGTGGCGTTATAAGGTTTGAAAAGGCCATCACTCACACCGCATATGGTGGGAATTATCATAATTTGAGGTGCATTGTGGTCCATTTTGGGGCGCCTGTAAAATCTTGGGGAGGTTTCATTTGTGTCGCTAGTGGGGAAAATGCTGTGTGAAGAAATACTGGTAAATGATGAAATGTTTCGATACCTGGTAGTCACTGCGCTGCCATTTCCAGAAAAGAATAACACAAAGTTGAAAAAGACGGGAGTTTCCAATTGAAATATAA